CTCCTTTTCCTTAAGCAGCCAAAAGCAGCCTGGGGTAGCTGGGTTCTGCAGATCCTTAAGGTAATGGAGGCTTTGGGAAAAGGGAAAGCCAGGTTGAGGTGCCTGCCCTCTCTGTGCACCAGAGAGACCTGCTTGTGGCTGTGGAGCTGAGAATATTTACCCATGACATGAGAACCATCAGTTCATTGTACCCAGACTGTGCTCCCCCCCCTCATTCCAAATGCTGCCCTAACAGCAGCAGTGTTTCATTCTTGCAACTCAATGAGGTGAATTGTGGTTGTTTGAAGCCATCACCAAATGGATTTGGGCACCAGGCTGGCAAGGGGTGGCTCTCATGGTGATGGAGTGGAGCATCAGATCTGGGGCTGTGGGCTGGCACTGGTGGAAATGCATGGACTGGGAGGGATGAGAAGTGGGAGAACCACAGCCCTGGGTGGATTTGAGGCCAGGAGGACAGAAGCTAACAGGGATTTTCTTGCAGCACAAAGGCAATGAAGCCTCTTTGTGCTCAGTGACTGAGCCACGTAATCAATCCTCCCTTTATCCAACACCTCCCTGCCTCAAGCTGGTTGTATACATCCACACAGAGTCTTCTTTTCAATAAAAGTTGCTATTTTTACTAATTTCAGCGCTGCCTTCAGTGCCTAGGCAATATTTACCAAATTGTTGTGTTTGACAGACTGCCAGCAATTCCTGAAAGAGGGTGCACCTCTGTATGCCTTCTGAAAGCACAGCCTGAACGAACACCATCGTATGTTAGAGTTCAGTTTTCCTTTTATTGAGTCTTTTCTTCCTGTCCTGCTGCAAGATGTGTGCTGCAGATTGACCTGGAGGCTGTTCTGATTCCTGTTGAGCTGCCCCTCAGCTGGGGCTTGGAGGAAAATCTCAACCTGCCACACAACCAGGCAGCCAAAACCTCATGCAGTAACTCCTTTTGGTGCAGGATCACAAGCCCTGGCAGCTTTTCCTGCTCACGTTGCAGTGTCCCCAGCACCTTGTCCCCTCCCTGAGCCCTCCAAGGACACCCGCTACTCCCTCTGCTGGCAGCCAGCATGCACGGGATGAGGGTACCAACCCCGTCCGCATCCTAAACTCCTCCAGTGGTCCCATTTAATCCCAGACCACAGCAGCGAGGGGAAAATTCACCTTTGCTGGCCGCTATGATTTGATAGGCTCAACATGTTTCTCCAGACCCCAGCCCCATTCTAAGGAAGGATCTGCTCATCCTTGCACTTGCAGAATCCCAAACCCTTGTGCCCTGGAGGCAGCTGCCAGCCTGCCTCAATAGAGGCCTTCTTCTCCCCCAGCATCTGCCTGCTCGCTCCAAAGCCTCATTGTTTCTCCATTGCTCACATGATGTAGATTAGTACCATGGCAGCACCCCCTCCCCAGAACCATCTCAGGATGGGATGTGTGTCTGTGTACAGTACCAGTGATGAAACTCATCCTATTTGCTGCTGGATTTGAGGCATAGCTTGTATCTGTGGAAGCCGAGGGCTGAATCCAGCCATGAGGTGGGAGCTGGCACAGCCTTGCCCTACATCCACAGGATTGGGGCTGTTTTTTGGATAGGGACTGAAGGCAGGGTCTGTGCTGCCGTGGCATTGCTCACTGTCTTCAGCAGTCGGTATGAACTTAATATCTTCATCAGTGAAGGGATAGAATGTGCCCTCAACAAGTTTGCTGATGGCATGAAGCTAGAAGGAGCTGCCTGAATACTGTCCTTTGTAATGTGCTCTAGAGAACCTGCTTCAGGGGTGGTTGGACTGGTGGATCTCCAGGGGTCCCTTCCAGCCCTATGATTCTATTCTATGATTCCCTGATTGCATTGGGTTGCCCCAGCCCTGCTTGTGGCACTACTCCTGCGGTGGAGGGAATCTCTGGGCAAATAAGCCTTGAAGGAGCCCTTGGATACCACCCAGGTAAAAACCATAGGGCTGTGCAGCTCCATAGGAGTTGAGTGTTGAGCTCTTTCTTTACTATAAGGGTGGTGAGGTGCTGGAACAGCTGCCCAGAGAGGCTGTGGATGCCCCGTCCCTACAGGTGTCCAAGGCCAGGTTGGATGGTGCCCTGAGCAGCCTGATCTGGTATCAAATATGGAGGTTGGTGGCCCTGCATGTGGCAGGGGTTGGAGATTCATGGTCCTTGAGGCCCCTTCCAACCCAGGCCATTCTGTGATTCTGTGATTCTGGGTGGAACAGAAGCCCAATATTTGGTGTCAGAATAAGGTCCTGAGAGACAGCACCAGGCTCAGAGGCATTTCTGAGCAGCAGACAGGCAGCCCTGAGCTGTGTGCCCAAGTACTGCAGGTCCCTGAGCAAAGCAGGCAGGATCTGCTCAGCACATCCTCACCGTGGTGGAAAAACAGCAACCAGTGAGGGTCTGGGAGATATTCCAGCCTCCATCCCTTGGAGCTCTCACATCGAAATACCAGACCCTCGGCATCTGCAGGAGGATGGCTCACATCCCTTCTATCCCCCCCCATGGGCAGCCTCCCTGTGGGGACAGCACCTTCCAGATCATGGCAGCTCTGGGAATGAAGGCTCTGCGGTGGTTCAGTGCACCCTGGGCGCTTTGTTTCTTTTGGGCACTCAAAGCCCATCCGAGAGCACCACCTCCTGGGCAAGGCAAAAAGCACGGAGCAGACGGACGGTATGGAGTTACCCAGAAGGAAAATAACACCGATTTCCCGTTCTGAAGTCATACAAAACAAACATGGGAGGAGACGGGCAAACCTGGGGCCGCCCAGGCTCCCTCGGGGATTGCATGCCCTCCAGCCTGTGCATCTTTTCCAGACATGGGATTTTATTTAAACAAAAAAACATGGAGCATCCCTGGGAAAGTCACTGAGCTCCGCTGAACATCTTCTCAGGGATGAGGTTAAACAGATTTATTTTTCCCATCTTACCTTTACCTCCTTCTCACCAATGCCAGCTACTCAAGGTTTCCAAACTGGAAAGAGGTGGAAAGGGAACAGCATGAGCAGAAGTGCCTGTAAACCCTTGGATCTGCGGGTGAGGAGCTGAATATGAACCACAAACCCTCTCACAGTAAAAAGTTGAGTAAAACCTCCAACACTGGCTGCCAAGCATAGATAAGGGCACCATGATCCCTTCTTCTGCCTTTGAGAGCTTCTCCAACTGAAGGGTTCTCCTGGCTGATGGCTGAACTCCCTGTATAGGGAGGGGACCCAGGGCTGTGCTCTCCCCCAGGGCTGTGATGCTCCTCACTGCTGGAGCCACTGACCCTGAGCAGAGCAGGTCCCAGCTGTAGGCATGGGAGAGGAGCTCCCATTTCTACCTCCTCTACCTCCTCACTTGGAGAAGGACCTGGCTCTGCCCCTGAACCAGGTCTCACCTTTCTGGTACTGTCAGACTCAACTGCCACCCAGGAGAGAGGCAGCCGTGTATGGAATTGGGGCAAAGGCACCAGGAAAAGTCATGCATGGGAAAGAGCAAAACTGATGACACCAGAACCCTTTTGATTTTAGCATGGGCAGAGCAGAGCTGCAGAGGGAAGCAGACTTGTTTTCTCAGTGCCTATGTATAGAACAGTGAGCTCATAGTTTCCGACAATGGAGAGCATCCAAAGTATGGGAAACAGGAATTTCCACCCCGCCCGGTGCCAGCTGAGAGCTGAAGGTGGGGAGATGCCCAGTGCCCCAGACCTGCCTGTGCTGGTCCAGGTCACTTCTCCAGCACTGAGGACCTGGAGAAGCGATCAGTCACAAATGGGAATGTGCACCCAAAGGTGATGGTAAGACCTCAGCCCTGGGTCAGCCCAGAGAGTTCTCAACTTCAATTTATGCTCGCACCATGAAAAACAGGATAGTGAGAGGAGTGGATGTGGAGCAAAGGAGCAGCTCCGGATCTCCTTATGGTGGGATTTCATGGCATAAGAGGTATGAAGGGTACCAACCCCACACGCGGTGCTCTCTGCATTTTGGCAGCTGCCCTACAGCATGGGATGGCCTGGTAAGTTTGCACCCACCCTTTTTCATTCAGAAACCAACCCTGTGATGTAACTGCTGCACCCACGGGTGGCGATACCACTGCCCACGCCTGCCAGGGCTCGAAACCACCACTGCTGCCCATGCGGTGACTGTGGGGACCCATCTGTTTTATGCTGGGTGCCAGAGGTGCCTTAACACTCTTGCTGTCTCTTCTTACCCCATAGATCCTGGAGATCCCTGGGAATCTTCTTGTGACTGGAGGAGCACAGGACCAGGAGTGGCATCTCTGCACCATGTGAGATCCCCACTTAATTCCAAGTTTCTCCTAAACTATGATGGAGATGCAGGCCTCCCAGGACACAGGAGTTCCTTGGAACCCTTTTGATTACCTTGAGGACACCAGCTGGGCTGAGGATGCTGAAAGGATCCAATGTGGTGACAGGAACCATCCACTTGCAAACAGCTTTTGAAAGGCTCTGGAAGTTAAGAGAAGAATGGCAGCACCCTGAGAAATGGGGTAATGCCACAGAGAGCCTCCTCTGTGCAAGATTCCAACCCACAAGTGGACAAGTGGAGGGATTCCATCTGCCCACAAGCTGCAGCAGATGGTGCTGGAAGCCTGCAGGCAGGCAGGAGGCGACAGTGACCAGAGCTGTGCTGTCTGGGTTTGTCCACAGCCATGCTGCTCTTTGGACTGACCATCCAGCAGTGTGGGGCTGGGTGACACAGAGGGGAGCGAGCACAGAGATGAGACCAGTGTGGGGATGGGGAACAGAGATGTGTGGTTGTGCACAGAGCTGAGCCTGTCCCTGCCACGGGGCCCTGCTGTGTTTGGGGGCCAGCAGCCTGTTGTTTGACTCTGGGAACTCATTACAGGGAGGCCGCACTGTGCCACCTCTCCCTGCCCTCTGACGCCTTATGCTGGCTCCACACCCACTCCCTGGCAGGGTTCAGGCTTTAAAACTTGAACGGGTTCCTCCGCATTCACAGCCCGGGTGCTGCCCTGTCCCCGCTCCTGCCTTTACGCAACGCGCTTGCATGAAACGTGCAGCCACCACCTTGCTGTTATATAGGCACCCCATTCCCAGCCTGGACGGTGCTCAGCGCTGGGGACAGCAGTGGATTGGATAGAGAGGACCCTGCCCTGGGGTCCTGCAGAAGGTAGGGGTCTCTGGGGTGTGGAATGAGGGGCTCCTCTGGTTCTGTAGGGAGCAGCAGATCACTAAACCAGAGCGGGAGTTGGGTCCCTCTTCTTGTAAGCGATGGCTCCTCGTGTTGGTGCGGCCATCGCAATGCAGGGGATGGCTACTGGGCTGCCATGCCCACTTGTCCAGCAGCAAAACCTCTAGAAACAGCTGTGAGGATATCAAGGGTGACTGACGGCATGCAAAAAGGGGTGCAGATTGGATTTGAAAACACAGCATTGTCTGGAGAAACTGCCTTCTTCATAGAACTCCAGCTGCTGATCTACTCTTCGAACTGAGCGTCCCTCCTCCTTCTCCTTCTCCTCCTTCTCCTTCTCCTCCTTCTCCTTCTCCTTCTCCTTCTCCTTCTCCTTCTCCTTCTCCTTCTCCTTCTTCTCCTCTTCCACCTCCCTCTCCTCTCTTTCTCCCTTCTCTCTTCCCTGAATGCTCCCTACCCTAAGAAGTGCTTCAGACCAAGCTGATTCAAGACTCTGATCCATGGTGTCCCCATTGTCCCTGCACCCCTCTATGCCCCAGGGTGGCGCAGGGGACACACCAGGCAGCAGGGCAGTGCTGTGACTAACAGGCACACACTGCACTCCAACAGTGACCCGGCCATTGGGCTGGGACATCCCACACTAACCATTGCAACTGGGACTCCTATAACACCCCGTATCCCTGCTCACAGCTGGGAAGCACACGTGGTCTGCAGAGCAGGGATGGCTGAGATCTCACCCAGCAAGGAAGGGGCCCCAGCCGAATGCCCCGTCTGCTACGAGAAGTTCCACCCCCTGGAGCACACACATCGCCAGCTCAGCTGCGGGCACGCCTTCTGCCACGACTGCCTGGTGAAGTGCCTGCTCTCCTCCAAGCTGGACGGCCACATCCAGAGCAGCATCATCTGCCCCGTCTGCCGCTACGTCACCTTCCTCAGCAAGAAGAAGGCGCTGTGGCCGTCCAGCCCACGGACTCTGGAAGTGCCCCTGTCACCATCCTCCTTATCGCAGCTGACCAAACTGGAGAGCAGCAACGCCCTGGTGGTGCCCAGCCACTTTGTGATGCCGGTGCAGAGCTTGGAGCGGTGCAGCCCCACGGGCGCACAGGGAGAGCCGGCACGTGGAGCCCATATCTTTGTCATCAGCAGGTATGGGATGCCACTGGTGGACACGGACTGCTCCTCCCTGCAGAGAGAAAGCCAGGCGGAGACACGGAGCACCATGTCCTCCAGCTCGGCCCTGGGGCTGCAGTGCTGCCAGTCGCCCATCGCTCTGGCCGTGCTGCTCATCCTCACTGTGGCCCTGCTGGCGGCCGTGCTCCCTTGGCTGCTGCTGGTCAAGAGGGACTCACCGTGAGGAAGGCAGCGACTGTGATGACGGAGGATTGGCACTGATGCTGGGGCTGGCACCTTCCTGGAGAAAGCCCAGATGCAGTTCCAGGGGAAGTTTTCCCATCTGGCCAGGTTCCTGAAGATCTCTGGGTGCTCACATGCTAGAGGTGTTGCCTCATTTGTTTGAAATGTGGCTGCCTGGGTCCTGTTAGAGGGTTCCTTCTGTGTTTTAGTGGTATGGTGGGGCTGGAAGGACCCAACTCACAGCCCCCCCCCTCCCTCAGCCCTGCTCTCAGGTCCCCCAGAGCTGTCCATGCTCCTGCTTTCACCGTGTCTCTCCTGCCCTGAGCACCAGGGACAGGCAGCAGGCAGGGAGTGAAGGCATCAGGGCTGCATCGGGGGTGGCTTTGGGAATTCCATCCTGTCCCCACACCAGGGGGAGGTGTGGGCATCTGAGGGGTGTACACAAGATTTGGGTCCCCCTCTGTGCCCATTCCAAAAGCAGTCACAGTCGCAGTGACTGTGGTGCTTAGGAGTGCACCTTGAGGACCTCAGTGCTTTCACAGATCCCTGACCCACGGAGCAGGAGCAGGATGTCCCTTGCTGTCACTGGCAGGAGGGTGGCACATAGCTCCTAAAGTGAGAATCCCACTTGCTGAGCATTAGGGGGCTGCAGTGCTCTGGGCTCACCCAGAACATTTCAAGAGGACAAATCAAAACTGCCCAGTGTTAGAAAGCTCAGCAGGAAGATCCCATTTCAGCCCTATGGCCATCTGTGAGCAAATGCAGGGCATCACTCATCCACCTGTTTCCATACCTGTGTACCAGGTGCGATGACACTGACCCCTGCACTGGGAGACTGCTGGGGAAAAGTGCCTGAGACACTGCACTGGAATGGAAATCCTATTTCATAAGAAATAATTACCTGACAATGATGCGTCCCTGCCTCCTCATTTAATAATTGCCCGTGTTATTACTCTGGATATTGAGGAGGTACTGGAGGGTGCCAGGGAGCCAACCCCTGGCATATAGGGCTGCTGAGGGGCAGGCAGGGCTGGAGCCCACTTTTGTCTGCTGCTGCTGGAGGCCAGGAGCCACTTGGCAAAGGACTTCAGCATCTCCAGGTCGAGAGGGACATCCTGGGGGGTGGAAGAGGAGACCAAGTCTGGGGGTGCCATCAGCAGGGAGAGGCAATGCCACGGACATTGGGTGGGGCCAGGGGGCATCGCTGCGGGTTTGCCACAGGGTGGCACTGCTTGGCCGGAGCTGGCTGCCAGGGCTGGCACGGGGACAAAACCAGGCTTGGGGGGTGGCAACCTGGGTCCCCAAGAGGGGGAGTTACAGAGCGCCCCCGGGAAAGCTGGCTGTAAGCAGCTGCCAACAAGGCAGGGTCTGCACCTCAAGCTGCACCCACGCTCTCCTGCTGCTCAGGGCCAGCTGATGACAGGGACGTCCCTGTCCCCACATCCTCTCCAGAGCCACCAACCTCTGTTAGGGTCTGTGTGCATCTGGGATAGATATTCTCAGCCCTTCCTGTGCTGATGGACAAGCTGCCAACATCTTATTTTCTTGCTGTTAATGTCATTAAGAAGCCAGTCCTTCCTGTGCCTTCCCCTGCTGCTAATCCCTACGGAGGAGGTTTGCAGCTCCAAGAAAGCCAAGCCCCCAGGTGCTGCACAGCTTCCCCCAGCAGGACCAGGACCAGGACCAGGAGCATTACAGGGTGCTGAGGCCACTTGCAGCTCAGTGCTGAGTACTTCAGTGCTTTGATTCATCGTGGTGACCACAACACTGAGCCTACAGCTCACAGACATGCATTGGGTCATTGCCTTCTCTGCTGATATCCCACATCACCTGTGGTGGGGACACACATGCAGCCCTGTTTGGTCCTTCTGATGTCACCATCTGTCTGTGGACACAGTCAGTCGCTTATGGCCACCATCTCTGGACAACATCTCACAGAGTTACTGTAGGCTGCAGGCTCCTGCTTGCAATCTATGCTGGAAGCTGCTGCGACTTCTGGAGATGCCCTGGGTGCCCTGGCTCCATCCCAAACCCTTCTCCTTTTCTTTTTCTATTGCATGGGAAGGTCAGGATGTCCCATCCCTTATCCCCTGGTGACGCTGGAGATCTGCTCCCCTGCCACAGGGATGTCCCCAGAGCATGGGCTTTTTTTCACAAGCAACCACAGGTTGCCCAAGGCAGGAGCCCATGAGGGCAATTACTTTCTGAGTGTGTTGAGGACGGGGCTAATGACTTTCCTGCAGGTAAGGATGGCCAGCCTGCGTGCACACAAAATTAAAGGTCAGCTAATGGCCTTGGGGTAGCAGAAAGATCAGAGCCATCTTCCAGGCAACTCTGGAGGTGGAGACATACCCCTGGTGGGCAGGGGGTCTGCAGAAATGTGAGAGGAGAATGAAGAACTTAAACAATAGGGCAAGATGCTGGGAGAACTGTTGCTGGGATGGGAATGCTCTGCAAACGTATGGCAAGAAAAAAAGTCCCACTTGGGCTGGGAGAGGGTAAAGAGTGGCCTTTCCTTTGCAAGTATGTTCATGTGCTCTGAAGTCCAGCAGGCAGCTGTCTGGGTGCAAGGCGAACCTGGCTGTGTTTGACCTATTGGTGCGTAGCTTTCTGTACATGCTTTCATGCCCATGTATTTTATTTCCAGCAGCTACCAATACATGTGTGTGCCTGAGCTAAAAGCTTCCAAAGAGACGTTTGAACTAAAATCAAGTGGTTCACCAGACTTGGGGCTGGGGCATCAGTCATTCCCAGCGAGCTGCAGTACTGTGCATGCACCAGGGACTGCCCGTGGGGTGCTCCTAAAGCAAATGAAAGACCCCACAGCAATTGGGTCCAGCAGGCTGCATGATCCTGATGCAGCACCCAACCCTTGTGCTGCAGGCACTTCCAGGCACTGGCACTGACCAGGCAGGCACTCAGGGGCTTGTGCTGAGTGCCAGCTGCCGAGATGAAAGCAGGGATGTCTCTGCCAGCTCAGTGATTTTATAAAGGCCTGGAGAAAACTCAACCACCTGGCCTGGGAGCCTGCTGAGGGAGGACTCAGGTACAGGGGACATCTGCCCATGCAGCTGCTTCTGAAGATGCTTCTGAGGGTGCTCCTTCCCTCTGAAGAAAGTGGGGGTACAGATCCTACCAACAGTGTGCCTTCTGCCTTCCTGTAAAAAAACCTTTCTGCACTTCTCTAACTGCTATAGGACCACCAGCACAGGCACTACGAGGTTTAGTATTGTCTTTGTAGGAGGAGCCAAAACCACCCCAGTTTTGATCCTTCTCTCCCAGATAGGTATGAGTATTCAATGGGCAAAGAGTAGTTGGGTGGCGATGGGGATGGATGGGCACTAAGTGGATGGATGGAGCTTCAGCATGAGAACAGGGCACTAAATGGAGGTGTGAGGATAAAAGGCTGTGGGGGATGAATGAGCACGTGGACAGGTGTTTGCATTTCTCCCTGTTGGATGGACAATAGAGAAACTGGGCATGGGAATGATACACAGGACCCTATAAGATCACCTCTAAGCCTTGCCATAACACTGTGGTCCTCATGAACTCCCTCTGCAGTTAGATGGCACCTTGAGCTGTGCACACACTAGGGCTTTCCTGTCCTACCCAGCTTGTGGGATGTCCACGTGGAAAAGAGTGGCTGAAAATCCCAGGAGGCCGTGTCCAGAGCTGTAAAGGGGCAACCAGAATAGCCAGCAGGCTGGCAGGCACTCCTGATGCATTTAAGATGCTCTGCTGCACAGTGTCCAAACACTGACTTTTTCACTCCTGACTCATCTCTCACTGATGACTCCATCCATCACCCACGGCACGATGACTTTGCAGGTGGAGATGTTGTGCAGGCAATCAGCACAGCACGATGCTGGCTGGCCTACAGGGGTGCTGTTGGTCCCAGTGCCCCTCCATGTCAAATTCTTCCCTTTCTCTGTTTAGAATTGCTGGCTTAGTAACCCCCATCAATGTGTGATGGAGAACACAGCTGCCCTTCCTACATTAGCATTACCTTTGCCTGGTGGCAGCAGGTCTATGAACTCTGGGTAATGGCTACATAATGCATCATTAGCAGGAGAAGGTGGCACTTTTATGGCTCGGAGATGGGAGAGGTGGGAATTGTGCAGGGCCCAGGAGTGCTTACTGGCCAGGCATGCCAGAAGGCTCCATTAGGATTCAGCCTCTGAGAGCCCCAGTTCCATCAGCTGAAATCTCCACATCAATAATTAAGAGGAAAGCTCCTCTGAGCTTCCTTTTCTCCCTGCACCCAATCCACAAAGGATGGGGTGGAACTGGCCTGGGCTGTCCAATTGGTGTGGGATGTAGGCATGGTGACAGTGACCCAGCTGGATGTCCCCATGCCCGGATCTCTTCAGATAAGATCTTTCTGCCTCCATCTCTGGCACAGGGCAGCCACTTTTTCACATTGTCCACCTGTGGTGGCACACGGGACACAGCCCTAGGCAGAGCTCCCCTTCTGAAGCCTTGCATAAGAGTGGGGTTTTCCAGAGTTGGAATGGGTCTGGGGGTTGGAAGTGCACGAAGGGCTCAGCTGGTGTCCTGCTGGCACCTGAATGCCCATGGTGGGACCAGATGCTCCTTCCCTGGTCTTATTGCTTCTCCCATGAAGATCACAGACAGCTATTTTTTCATTTAAAAAAAAAAAAAAAAAAACCTGCTACAAAAAGAACCAAAAACCTTGAATAGCTTCAGAAACTCCGCGCTGATGGACCTGCATGAGAATTTTCTAAGAAAACCTTTTCAGCAGGCTTTGTGTTCAATGATGTGCCACTCTGCAACAGTATATAGAGCTGGGAAACACCCTTTCTTTGTCCTGGGAGTGACTTCTCTGCTGCTTTGTGCTGCCCATGGTCACCGTGCATGGGCAGATCTTGGCACACGTGTGCAGGAGCCCTTGCAGGTCCTCTGGGCAGCTGGGCTGATACCCACCCTGGGGTGTCAGAATGTATGCATGAGGGGTTTGTGCAGAAAGCCACAAGCCCCAGGGAGCACAGGGTTGTCAGCATCACACAAGGGATGCTATCACCTGGAGATGCTCTTTATCTTCTTGTCCAACCGCTGAGCAAGACTCGCCGGTTGCTGGTCCCAGCCACTTCTCACCCCTATTGCTAATGATTGAAGGCTTTCCAGTGAGTACAATTAGCTTCTGGCTAGCACTCCTGGATCCAT